GGTATTCGTTAAATAATAAAGTTTCGTAAAAGTCAATTAAAACCTCAACTGTTTCTTTAAATGAAAATTCTTTTCCAAATCCTCGAAGCGTATTGAAAGTTTCCTAAACTTCCAATTAAGAATCGCGCTTTTTTGGTTTAAAGTTGAATAATCATTAGGCCAATTTACATTCCCGATACGTATTTTATTTAAAAATGCAGTTCTACGAGTCAGACTCGGAAAGAAAATCTATTCCAGATAGAGAACTCACCCATCTTTAGCTGTTTTACTTTGGGAATACTTAAATATAATATAGCAAAAATTAAACAGATTCTTCCGGGCTATATTTCCGTGGTCTGAGTGTTTTTCTACCATTTCGTCTACTACGGCGATAGTCATCTTTAGAGGCGGTGTGGTAGATGAAGAAGTGTCCTCTTCCTTGCTTTTTCCACGACTGGACTCGACGTTTACGTCGGAACGATTATCGTAACTAAACGTAGATTTTAAACACCATGCTTTAAAAATCATAATTCCTTAACGTGATACTTACTCTGAAACTGAGATAAAAGGAGTTATACTGATATTTGAAATATAAATAAATATGACAAGTTGCTCTTCACACTAAATCTCAAACTGAAAAACTAAACCCGAGAAAATAAGTAAAAGTGATTGGTCCCGCGTAGGGGTCCGATCCTGGTTTTTGCCACCTGAGGCGGAAACGGTGCTCTTGGAGAGTCGGTGTCCCATGGTAGATGGCGGATGGCTTCCTGCTTTGGATTGCCTTCTCAGGCTGGGAACAGTTCTCCTGGGCAGAAGCCTTGTTATATTCCAGGCTGAGAGGCCAGGAGTGGCTTTTTGCTGCCCAGCAGCATTGGGTCTGTTATGTAGTCGTCGTTTGGGCTCTGTGCTTTGTGGTGTTTGGGACTCTGTGCATCTCTGCTCCGAGGTCTGGGTGTAGCGTCACGTTTCTCATGTACCAAAGATGATGCAGAGGGCTTTGTTTTAAAAATGGGTGGTTATTTTGATATAGCTGGATGTTGCGCTGGACCATGTCGATCTATAGGCTAGGATGAGTATGGCTTTGTATAGCAGCAGTTTTTTCCTGGTCGTTATCTTGCTCTTTTTTCCTAGAAATCAATAGAAAAACCGTTTGAAAAGTTGTTTGGTAGTGCCTTCTGGGCTAACTGATAAATGAACTCGTGATGCAACTTTTGATCTGGCGTCTTTTTTGTCTAGAATATTGTAGGGTAGTGGAGTGTGAAGTGGTCTTGACTATGCCTAAGGTGTATGTCAGGATCCATGGGAATAGATGAGACGCTGACAGACGTCATAAAGTATGCCAATGTATGGGTCATGACAATGATGTTATAAAGACTAAAAAGAGTAAAGATGTATAAATTAACATGGCGCAGTCGGTGCGTAAGTTTGTAATAAATCAATAACTCCAGAAATTAAGGATTAAATTAGCAAAATGGTCGATAGCAGAGGTGTTCCCGCAATGGTGATGTCAGGGAATATTTGTGAGAATTGGAAGCTCTGGAGATGCAGGTTTGAAAATTACTTGATTGCAAGTGAAATAAATAAAAAGGATGAAGCTATTCAGTGCGCACAAGTGCTTCACTACATAGGCGAAGAAGGCTTCCGTATTTTTACATTTAGTAATGCCGAAAAAGACAAATTGAAAATGCTCTTGGACAAATTTGAGAATCATTTCCAGTCAAAACAAAATTTGACCTTCACATATAGACAAAAGTCAGGTCAAACTTTTGAACAGTTTCTCACAGAATTAACATCATTAGCAATGAAGTGTAGGTTTGGTGGTCTGTAGGATGACTTGACAAAAACTATGATTATATTCGTGGTATTTCCAATAATAGTATCCGAGAAAGACTTTTGCAGGAAAGTGATGATGCAAAATTAGAAGAAATTATCCAGAAATATGTTGTCTATGAAATTGCTAAAATTAACAGCGGAAATATTGGTAGTGAATCCACATTTGGATCATCTGTAGATGCTGTCAATGGGGACAATAGGAATAAATCAAAACAAGGATTGACTTCTTCAAAGATGATTAATGAATCCACAACATCTGGTTCTTCCCATTTATTTTATAAATGTCCGGTATATGGAAAGGAATGCAATTTTTGTCACATTAAAAACCATTTTGAAAGTAGATGCATGAAAAAGAAATACAAAAATAAGGTAAATGATGTACAGATAGAAAATGTTAATATAATAACCAAAGGAGACGACGATGAGTCTGTTTTTATTGGCGCTATAAATAATGTGAATAGTAGTTTATCTTCAGAGGGGTTGACAAAATTAGAAATAAATAGTAAAAATGTTTAGTTTAAGGTTGATACAGGAGCAGATGCAAATTTGGTTGGTACATTTCAATATATGGATATGTCACGTAAATTAATAACTAATACTGATGCAAAATTGAAATCATACACAGAAAGTGAGTTACCAGTTATTGGAAAATGTAAATTACCTTGTTTTAAAAATGACATATGCTATGATATAGTTTTTTTTGTAGTTGATGGCAGCACTCAAGCTATTTTAGGTTTGAAATCTTGCATTTCCCTAAATCTCATTGGAAAAGTTGACTCAGTAGTCTCAGAAAATTACAAAGAATTAATAAACACATATGGTGATGTATTTGAGGGAATAGGCTGTATTTGAGGGAATAGGGTGTAAGCAAAAATGTTCAATTGAATTGGAGGCGAATAGCAGGCCAGTAATTCAACCAATCAGAAAAGTACCACTTTCTCTTTAAAAGAAAGTTGGGATGATTTGGTTGAACAAAAAATTATTGTAAAACTTGAAGGTCCAACAGACTGGTTGAATGCTTTGGTACTTGTTCGTAAACTTGATGGGAAAATTCGTTTTTGTTTAGATCCAAAGGATGTGAATGATGTTTGCAAACGTGAATTTTATAAAATTCCAACTTTTGACGAAATATCGGGCAATTTAACAGGTGCTACAGTATTCAGTAGTTTTGATGCCACCAGTGGCTTTTATCAGATTCCTCTGGATAGCAAAAGCACTGAACTTTGTACCTTTAGGACACCTCACGGTAGGTATAAATTCTTGAGACTTCCCTAAAGTGTGCTCCGGAAACTTTCCAAGAAAGATTTAACGACATTTTTGGTGGCAGACATTTACATAGATGATATAATCGTGTGGGGTGAAAATCAGGTCGAGCATGATGAGCGGCTAAAACAAGTTTTAGAAACGGCTAAGCAAAATAATGTAATGTCAGTCTTCAATTGAATATATGGGACATATTATCATATCTGCGACAGGTATAGCTGCAGACTCTAATAAAATAAAAGCAATAATGGAACTACCAAATCCCCAAAATAAACAACACGTGCAAAAAGCACTTGAAATGTTAACTTTTATTAGTAAATTTATCAAACATTTTTCAGATAAAACTAAACTAAAATATTCTGAATTCATTTGGCAATCGGAACATGAAGAAGCTTTTTTAAATTGAAAACAAACTTTGGTATATAAACCGGTTTTGCAGTTTTTTGACCCAAAAGAAAAAATTACCCTATCTGTAGATGCTTGAAAATCTGGGGTAGGAGCTTCTTTAATGCAAAATAGTCTTCCTTGTTCGTCAAAGCGCCAAAGCCTTAATTGAAACACAAACTAGGTATGTACAAATTGAGAAAAAACTCTATGCAATCTGTTTTGAGGTAATTAAATTTTATCAGTACGTGTATGGACAACAAATTACAGTGGAAGCAGACCATCAACCCCCAATATCAATTTTTAAAAAACGATAAAGATTCTGTTTCACAAGATCTAAAACAAGTTATTTTAAATGGATGGCCAAATTCAAATAAAAATTAAAAAGAATCAGTTGAAAATTTTGCTCCATATGAATCAGATTTAACCATCGCCAATGGGTTGATTTTCAAAGGTTCAAATTCATCACAGTCATTTAGGCATGAAAAAATGTATTGAATTAGCTCAAGAATCTTTATTTTGGCCAGGAATGACGCAACGCATTAGAGATAAAATTTCCTTGTGTCACCAATGTTTAACTTATGCAAATTCCCAAGTTAAAGAACCTTTAAAGTCCCATGACTTACCTTTGCTGGAATAAAATGTCTTGTGATATTTTTGAACTTTATGGTGATAAGTACCTGGTAACAGTTGATTATTATTCGAAATATATTGAAGTTGAAGATCTGAATAATAATACTACTAGTAGCTCAATCATTAAACATCTCAAATCAATTTTTTCTCGTCATGGAATTCCCCTTACTTTAATAAGTGATGGAGGAACACAATTGTAATCAAGAGAATTCGAAAATTTTTGTAAGCAATGAGAATTTGAACATGTTATCACATCACCTACTAATACTTATTTAAATGGTATGGCAGAGAGAAATGTGCAGACAGCTAAAAAAATGTTTAAAAAAGCTTTAAATGATAAAAATGATATACAAATGGCTTTACTTCATTTTAGAGCTACCCCTATTTTTGAAAATATATCACCAGCAGAATTACTTATGTCAAGAAAATTAAGAACTAACCTAATGATAACCAAAAATGAATCTAAACCTAAAATTTCTACAACATACAATAAATCTGTCAATACAGAAAATCAACTATAGCAACAAAAATATGATAACAAAGCTAAAATAATGTTGCTTGAATTTAGTTTAAATGAAAAAGTTTAAGTTCAGGGAGAACCTCACGGTAACTGGTTTCCTGGATTTGTAATACAAAAAGTTAGAGATAGAGATTATAAAGTACAAATGAATAATGATTCAGTTTTGATTCGCAATAGAAAATTTATTAAAAAACTAAATGTGACAATATCGTCCTATAATGAGAATCATTGTTCATTGGCAAGGGAGGAAAATATAGTATGTAATGATAACTCGGAAAATGTTGCTTCACCTCAACAGGAGGTCAGGTTTTTTATCGAGCTAGACGATTTAAGTAACAATATTGGTGTTAATGTTGTTCCTGAGGCAGAAATTGTGAGAGAAGATAGTATGTCAGATAATGAGAGAGTGGATAAAGACACTTGTGATAACAGTCATTATGAAGAGACACTTCCCAACGAAAATGAAAATATTGAAATTGTTGTTAATAATAACTCCAGTGAATCTAGTGACTATCAAGAGGAGATCAAACAAGTCGTCACAAATGAAAGTGATTCTGCTGATTCAGACTTGGAAAGGCAGATTTATAAAAAAATATATGTTACTAATTCAGGTAGACGTTCCAAACCGCCTTCCAAGTTTGAATGAAACTTAAGTTTTTGTATTTTATTACTTTCTAAGAGTTTTTGTGGTTTTTAAGAGGGGATGTAGGGTAGTGGAGTGTGAAGTGGTCTTGACTATGCCCAAGGTGTATGTCAGGATTCATGGGAATAGATGAGATGATGACAGCCTTCATAGAGTATGCCAATGCATGGGTCATGATAATGATGTTATAAAGACTAAAAAGAATAAAGATGTATAAATTAACAAATTTAGATTCGTGGATTGTGGTCGATTTTATTTTTGCAAATTAAGCCAACTGGATCTGATAGTGCTTGATATCCTCTTTCACTAAAACGCCTCTACCAGACGCGTTGGTGCGTTTAGTTGTGTAGGTCAGGAAGTTGGGGAAATTGGAAGTGTGTTGATGCTTCAGGAAGGTTTCTTATAGTAGGTAGTACAGTCTCAATATCGTTGACTTCGAGGACGAGCTGGAATGCGTGTTTCTTTATCCTAATGCAGATGTGTAGGGACTTCGGGTTGGTTTCAACGACCATTTGCGGGTTGATCTGGACATATCTATTTTCGGGATTGTGGGCGTGGCATGTGTTGAGCTTCTTTTTCGTTTTCGTTGTCGGAGAGAAACGAGGGGGATTTCATTGTGGTAATTTAGTGTACACAATAGTGGTAATTAGTGGAAATTTCACGGGAAATGAGTGGTAATGACTGGAAATTAGGGGAAATATACTGGTATTTAGTGGAAATATATGGTAATTAGTGGAAATATAGTGGTAATTCGGGGAAATTTTTGGTAATTTAAGGCAATTTAAGGAAATTTTTGGGGTAATTTGAGGAAATTTTGTGGTAATAACTCGAAGTTCAGTAGTGATAAAATTATGATATGCCTTTGAATTTGCCTTAATTTAGAAGTAACAGAGCTTCAACTAAACTATTCAACTAAGCTTTAAGTAAAATATTCTTCTGAGTCCCTATTAGTCAGTTAGAAACATCAACTTTTATTTTCTAAGGGATGTTTCATTTGAGGTTTCATTACATGAGAAGTGGCAACCTTGCAATAGTTCAACACTTGGTTCGACATAATCTATGAGCGTCGTTTTTACTACTCATTTTGAAACTTTCAATGCCTCGTTTCATTTAAGGCCCAGTTTTAAGTTTCAGTGTTTCTAAATCTAAAAGAAAAAGTAGAGAGAATGCATTCTTGTTATATTAAGCCCCCATCACACATTCGGCAAATAGTTACAAATATTTGGGTGTTTATGTGTTCTCGTCTCTCTGTTTCTCTAGTTTCAATTTTCTAGATTTTCACTTATCCTAGATGGATGCCAAATACGCAAATATTTGTGAGGAGCTTTACAGATTTTTTAGGTGTATGTATTAATTTTGACTGCAAAGGCGTGTAAAATTTCGTATTTTTTCATGTTTTCGTCTTCTAGATGGAATCCGAAATAGAGTCCAAATGTTCTGAAGTCGCTGTTGAACTTGATTCCGAACTCGGTTCCAATCGTTTACGTTTTTGGTGGATTTACATTTCCAAGAATCTTCTTTTTGAGATTTGGCGAGCGGAGCGAGCAATCAGAGACTAAAAAATAATTTAAATTTCAAGATCCGATAACTTGGAGTTTGTACTCGTGTTCTTACTAACCACGTTGAAGGTTATTGGTCGTTTTTCAAGCAATAATAGGTAGGTACTTAAGGAGATTAGGAGTAATGCAGTCTCCCTTTCTTGTGGAATATACAGTGACGGACCTAGGATCTTTGGGGCCCGACGCAAAAAAAACATTGGGGCCCTGTCATATTTTTTTAGGTATTTTTCTTGTGGTGTTGGGGTATGAGGCGAGTGTGCGAAAGTTATTTATATTTTTGAAGTTTTTTACAGCCAAATATAAAAACAGATTTAATTCAAAAACAAGTGTAGGTATTGAGAACATATGAGATAATATGAAAACACGACACCTACTCCACTAGTTCCTACTCACGCAGGCACCAAAGCCAGCAAAAACAAAAACTAGAAAGTACCGTACTGTACTGTCCGTACTCCACCAACAATAGAAAATCCGGGTAAAGTCTATATAATGTTTGATATTACCTTACCTATAACAAAGAATATTATAGCTAACGCAGTTGCAGTGCGTTAGCTATAATATTCTTTGCCTATAACAATAAATTGACAACGGCGCGGATGCTCCTTGGGCTCTCCACATCCCCGCTAATATACTCTTTCCAGCAGGATTCCCTAGTGGTAAATAACGTTTCCTTCTCTTGCAAAATTGAATTTTCGAATTTTTTAAATTTTTTTGAGTTTAAAAAAAAAAAAAATTCATCGATGCGTTTAGTATTCGGTTGTGTGGGGCTTCTCAGCTCCGGGGGCTCGACGCAGAGTGCGTCGTTTGCTTCATGGTAGATCCGCCACTGGGATTATATCAACCAATTTATTTGGTCTCAAATTGGTAGGGAATTTTCGTAGTTGATTTTTGAAAGGTGTTCAATTTTGATCGAAATTTTCTGATGGAAAATATGCATTTTGCGCTTTAATAGCTTGAACGTTTCTGTTTGATGGAATCTTTCCCAAAAAAAATATATATTTACAGGGCGTCCCACGAGGTTTGTCCCAAATGATAACTTCGGAACGCATCATCATATGTTCCACTGTATAATTTTTTATCATTTTCTTTAACAAAGCCTTAACAAATATGGCATTGCCGATTTTGTAATCTAATTTTCTAACAAAAAAGGCCATAATAATATACCATGAGTTACATTTAAGATTCGAAAGATGACGTCACTTGATCGAAATTGAAGCGAAACTGGTGAAATTGGACGAAAATGGTAGAAGCGGCACCAAAAGTTACCCAGATCCTCAAAATTTCAATTATATTGGATGACGCGTTCCGAAGTTATTACTTGGCAGAAACGTCGTGGGACACCCTGTATAAATGCCGTTTTTATTTGGACGGCAATATAGACTCGAAAATCGTTAACTGTGATTTTAAACCACCGAAATTGGGGGTTTATTTTAACAGCAGTTTAGAGGAACCTACTTAAACAAGGATAAACTTGCAAGTCAGTTACGAAAAAAAAACCTTTGTTAAAATTTAAACCTCTGTTTAACTCACGGTGCAAGTGAGATAAACTATTGTCAAAACTGGAAAGTGATGTTGACTTTTTTTTTTTAAATATCCCTTAAATTTCATATTCCCAAGTGTATTCGATATATGTTATGAAATAATTTACTTACTTATTTTTTTTTTATTGCAAAACAGTTTTTTCATGGATTTGATTTCAATATAAGAATGAAATAGTTATTTTTGTATCAAGGGCGCGAAATGCTACTTTGGTGATCGAGATCTGATTTTTTTAACGAGGCGTAGCCGAGTTAAAAAAATAGTCGAGATCACCAAAGTATTTCGCGCCCGAGTTGCAAACAATATTTTTTCTACAACTCCATTAAAATATCGATCATTCGAAGCTAAAATTGCATTTTCAAATAAAAGTAGGTGAATTTTAATTATTTTTGGTTTTCTGACAGGTATGTGTCACCATGACACCCAGTGTGCGAACTAGCTATTTCGCGCACACGTGCGCGAAATAGCTAGTTCGCGCACGGCGTCATGGGAACGTTAAAAAATCAATACCTGGGAAAAAAAGTGTCACTTCGCAAACTGTCATGAGTGTGCGAACATCATCATTTTTTGACAGTTGTAGAAAAAAGTGTTTTTTAGAGAAAGTAATGATGACTAAAGTTTTTTTTTGTATGCACTTATTCTTTTTTTCGAACTTTGATATTATTTTTTTTTTCTTGTCGCCACTTTGTTATAGGTATCGAAATATAAGGTAATAAATAGAATATTTAAAAAGTTTTCTCCACTAACCAATTATTACATATTATTTTAGAAGAAGCAAGGTCGCTAAAATAATACCCAATAATACCTACGCAGCTTAAAGGGGGTGTGACCCAAAAATGAACGTTTTGGTACAAAGAAAATCTAAGAATAAATACTGAAACCGCATTTTGCTACGATGGTCCGTTTTCGAGTTAGGGCGGTTTAAAGTTACAAATAGGTGTTTGTGACGTCACACTGGATTATCAGGGACATTATTAGCACGTGTAAAAATTTCCGAAAACAAAAGACAATTATCTCCTACGGCGAATTGAAACCACTCAAAGTATAGGGTATGGTTCACTGACGACTGAACGAACAGAAGACTCCGATTTCGGCAGTTGTGACATCACAAGTTCCTGCATCTTCATAAGGAATTTTCTCGGAGACTATTTCGAATATAGGACTGCGGTTTTCACGAGAGATCTTTGAAATTTTTTCTTCATTTAGGTAGCTCAAGTCGTTTTTTAGGGTCAACCCCCCTTTTTTAATGTAGGTACACAATTATATTTTTCAATACCCTAAAGACGTATAAAAATTTACATCGTGTTATTATTATCATATACCTACTTAGCAACATGTTATTGAGTTCTAAATATCAGGTATACTTGAAAATTAAAATAGATTTGTGGTATTTAGTGGTAATTTCAGTGGCAATTAGTGGTAATGAGAGTGGTAATTAGTGGTATTTAAAGGAAATTACTGGTAATAAGTGGTAATTTGAGTGGTATTGAGTGGTAATTCCTGAGGCAATGAAAGGTAATAGAGGAAAAAAGTGGTAATTTAGAGGAAATTATTGGTAATTTGTGGTAATTTCTGTCAGAAGTGGTAATTTAGTGTACACAGTTCCACTACTGAAATCCCCCTCGGAGAGAAAGGATGTTAATTTTTCGGAGAACTTCCAACCAGGTTATATTGAAGTTTTTTATGAGTTTCTATGGCTTCGCTGCGGATTCTAGTGTAAAGGTGTTTGGTTTAAGGAAATGCGATTCAGCGATTTCTGATTATTCCATTTGTTTTATGCTAGCAATTTTTTTTTACTCCCTATTCTGCATTGCAGACTGCATTTGGTTGTTCCTACCTATGGTGTAGCCCAAGGGGTCCGTGTTACGAC